TACACTTTTTCACAACATGTAAGTGATTCTGTTCACTTTCTATTGGATATCAACAACGCTATAACGATTTACGACGTACCTGTGGCTTTATTATTAGGTATTAACGACATACCTGCGGCTTTGCACATAGTCCGAAGTCTATCAGCTTCAAGTTCTGGTCTTCATCCAGTAACAAGTTTTCCTGCCAGTCGGGAGAAAACAAACAACAAGTAAATCACACAGTGTTCGTTTCACATTCCACAACCCTGAACATCTAAGCCATGCAGCGCGCTACCTATAGAGAAAAATAATCACAAATTTGAGGTCGTGGCGCCACCTATAGTGGGAGTTTCTCACGGGTTTGAGGTTGCAGCGCCACCTATGGGGGGATTACTCACAAGTTTGAGGTTGCAGCGCCACCTATGGGGGGATTACTTACAGGTTTGAGGTTGCAGCGCCACCTATGGGGGGATTACTTACGGGTTTGAGGTCGCGGTGTGCGTAGCCGACGTCGTGGATGAATGCGAGGGCGGAGATGATTTGCCGCAGGAAGAAACGCGCCTCGTTCTCCTTCAGCCGGTCCTTGCTAACGATGTAGTCAAAGAGCTCTCCACCGGGGCAGTACTGCAAGNGTAGGCATTCTCACTCGCCAACAGGGCTGGTCAGCCCAGACATTCTACTAGCCCTTACTGTTTTCTACTAGCCTCGGGCGAGCGGGCGAGCGTTAGTTTCAAGCCCTGGGGAGGGCACCCCAGACCCCCCCTTTCGCGTGCTCGCAAGTTTGGGTTACGGTTAGACCCCCCCTGGTACAAATCCTGTACACGCCCCTGGTAGCACGGCTGAGGCGGGAAGGGAAGGGAACATCATTCACACCTCTAGCATCATAAATATCTTCTCGTCTGTCTCGATCACTTGGTACAGTCTGCATATGTGCTGATGGTGGAGCTCCTTCATTGCTGCTATCTCCAGCTTTACACGCGGCAAATCATGCTGCAACATATCCAACAACGTTATAGTGCTATAGCACTAACCTTATGTAGTGTTACTGTAGTACATCACGACCATATAGTGTTGTACGCACTAATCTTATGTACATAGTATCGTACCTAACAACGTTATAGTGTTACATGTACGCACTTATGGCTGTCATTGTGGAATGTGATCAAATTTCAGGAAGTAACTTTAAAAATTAACTACATGTAGGCGAACGTTACCCCAAGTGACTTCTTGTCCATTATCTTGACTGCTACCCGTTCACCTGTCAGGCAATGTACACCGAGCTTTACTTTCGCAAATCCACCTGGAAACAAGATTGCAACAGTAGCTATATGTAAACGGGGGGACTGTCGTCAGGAAACACCCAAAACCACAAAATTTTGCATGACACTTCACACTTCAACAGCTATGAGATTTTAGACTCTTCTGGTTTCTGACCCTAGCTATAACATGTATAACATATGCCAGATTCCAGTTGTCATATATTATATAGACTAAAGTGGAGAAGCTAGACTACCTATTTTTCATGCAGAGTATTGAATATTACCAAATTATAGTTAAGCAATTAATGAAGAAAGAGTTTGTGTTACAACTGCTGCTAAAATATATAAAAAATTGATTGATTTAAATAATTGATTTGCGTATTACACAGTTGAATCTCATGCGTACATACCAGTGCCAATGGTCTCATGCAACGTGTATAAGCCATCAAGCACCGAGTAGGATGATGAGGATGGCATCTTGCCAGTGGAAAATCACACACCCTAAAATATAATTGCCGCTCATGAATTAAAAAATACCCAACAGACATGTACACACAAAATGATGCAATTAACTCCATTCCCAAAATTCTTGCAGCATTTTGTTATGTATTCTGAGGTCGTATATATGAAATGTAGACATTTACGTACAGCGTACCTGCTACCATGAATGTACACACAAACCCCGAGGCAGTCAACTGTCACAGACAGTGACTTAATTGCTGTTAGTGTTAGGTATGTTAGCAAGTCAATGCCAGTGCGCCAGTGGCAATGGTGAAAACTGTAATCTGATTAGAGCGTAGTATAGAGGTAGCAGGTACAATTGACTGATAGCACAAATTATAACTGAACACTAGCATTGCGTAAATACATGGGAAAGCATTGTAACTAGGACTCAGGAGTAGTTGTTCTAAAACTAAAAGAGCAATTAAGTCGCAACATCTGAGTCATCTCATGAGTTGTAACATCACGATAATGTAACAGCACAAGATTTAATTATTAATCGTTATGCCATTAACAAAATAAGTAGTGCATATGTAGAAGCAACCATGTAACGTTAATTCTATGTTAACTACCTTGTTACACCTCTTCAACTTGAACTATTCCTACCAAAACACCACAGAAAACACAACAGTTCGCGGCCACTTTTCAAAACTAGTGAGGCTATGACAAGTGCTGCCACGTAGTGTTGTTCAAAAAACAATATGGCAGCGCCCGCAAAACCAGGTGAGGCTCAACATTCCAATTTTAGTAATATATATTCTGCGCGTTTATGGAACCTTGTTATTTTGACTTCTTATATTGTATTTAGTGTTATAGAGTTATTGAGCTTTTATGTTTCAATTTATGGGTAATGCACTGTGTTTTTTGGGTATTGCCACTATTGGAGTCTTGAAGTTGAAATTGAAAGGTGTATTACTGTATATAATTCATGGCTGTTGCTCCTGCGACGGTACCGTCGCCGATTATTTTTCTCTTAAAGTCACGGTACTGACGGTACTGACGCCTGATTGGTTGAGCTTGTTTTCTTGCGATATACATAGCACATCCAAAATTTTAATTTCAATATGTGGCAGCAGCGCAACGGTTAGAGCGCTTGTGGGTACATAGTGGTAGTACATAGTGGTAGTACATAGTGGT